TACAGGTAAATGTGCTTTTTGTGGGGTAATAGAAACTGTTGAACATGTAATATTAAAATGTCGGAAATATAATATAGAGATAATTAAAATGATAAAGAACTTAAATGGTAATAATAATAAAAAAAGAAGATAAATTGGATATTAGGAAAAGGATTAAGAGAAGGTAGTAATCAAAGAATAGTAATGGAATATATAGTAGAAACAGGATTAAATAAACGAATTTGATAGTTAAATAAATAAAGCAAGGGAATAGGGGAACACACAGGCTGGGTTTTTTGACATGGGAGCTGAACACGCAGCAGCCAGAAATACAGCTTGGGTGAGCCCGAAATAAAATGTACAATAATAATAATAATAATAAAATATGAATAGAGGCGGGACTATCATCCATGTATGATTAGAAACCGTTGGTGGCGGTATGTGCCTATGGCGCAGAATACGCCAAAAAATTCCAAAGTTGGCAACACTGGCTGCACACATTGCTGCTCTGCTCGTGTTCATCTTCAGTTCTCTCTTCACAGCAGTTCAGTCAGTGTACTGTTTGAGTAAATTAATTACTCCGGGATATTGGTTTATTTCGACTCAGAGGGAGTGTCAGCCACGTTAAAAAAGTTAATAACTTAAGTAATGTGTGGATTCATGCTTACTGGAGACGCGAACCGTTTCAAACGATTCAATCCGATTTGGTGAACTGGTTCAACCGGTTAAATCGAACGATTCGTTCGTGATCCGGACATCACTAATAAGCAGCTTTGGGCAATTCAAATTACGGGAGGGTGGCGGGAGAAGACTCCTGGTGTAACACCGAGTTCATATGTTCAATAGCCCAGATAGGAAAATTGTGTGGTGCTGGAGGAGAATAATTCACGGGAGACGATAAAATGGCATATTTTCCCCCAGGATGTACAAATGTACACAAGTAAGCATCCAACTCAGGTCACACACAGAAAAGGAGGGAATAAAATAAAATCAGACAAAAGTCGGTAGAGGTAGAGCAGATTATTTCTTCGCCGTTTCGTAATTTACAGACACACGCCACAAAACTACCGTAAATACTCTAGTGGCCGTTACACCGGGAAGAACGGGAGTGTTGACAGATGGAGAACAGCAGCCCATCGCCGTCTCAGATCTCGGAGACACACCGGCACGAGAATCGGTAATTTTCGGGTTAAAAAGGATAACAGAGAACGGTTTAATACACTTGAATTAACATGTTACTTACAACTGTTATATATATTTTTTCTAAAATGCTTGATAAACGAGTTTAAATGCATGTAATATTAAAAATTATGCTGCATTCAATTTGTCTTATATTTTTGTACATGGGCTTTTTTGCTTATTAATACAATTTCACCTTTGCTTATTACTGTTGCCTCTACTAGTTCTCTCTCTCTCTCTCTCTCTCTCTCTGTGTGTGTGTGTGTGTGTGTGTGTGTGTGTGTGTGTTTAAATTCCAATTTATTTTTGGTTCATTTTAAGCCAGCAATAGTCATTTTCAAACAACCCAGCGTGTTGGGTCAAACATTTTAAGGCAAACCAGCTGTGTTTGTCCATATTTGACTCAGCGCTGGGTTGGCAAAATAACCTAAATTGGGTTGTTTGTTTTTAAGCATTTTTAGAGCGCAATTACCCCAAAAGAGTATGCTGTCGAATTTGACGCCATACCCCAGCAAGTAATACAATTTGTAAGAGCTTATGGAAGTGATTCTTCTGAGGCAATATATGTTAAAGACAGCATGTTCCTATAGGAGACGTTGATCATCTTAAAGGGGTCCTATTATGCTTTTTCACTTTTTCAACTTTAGTTAGTCTGTAATGTTGCTGTTTGAGCATAAAAAAGATCTGCAAAGTTACAAAGCCCAAAAGTCCACTTCAAAAGGAGATATTTTATTTAATAGAAATCACTTTTCAAAAATTACAACGAACGACTCGTTCGGACTACAACGAATATTTTCCGGGGTTTGTGGGACGAGATCTGGTTGAGCTGCACTAGAGAAGGCGACGAGTGTTATCACTATGTCGGAGACATGCTAGCTTTCCAAAGGCAGACGAACTTAGAGTGGTTACAATCATCCGGGTTTAAATCGCTCTCAAATTGATTTGATTTTGATGCAATATTTACACTGAAGCTCGCAGGCTTTTTTTGCTGAAGTGTGTTGAAATTTCTTCTGTATTCTACTGTACAGACGTAAATTTACTTTTCCTTCAGCCTGAGGCTTATTCATTTCACTTTTGGTGTGAAAAGGCTTTTAGATTTGCCAAAAAAATTACTTTTTATTTTAAAAACAAACAAGCAAGCCCTGTCCAGATTTTAAAAGTAATGTAACGCATTACTTTCCATAAAAAGTAACTAAGTAACGTAATCAGGGTCTCGCTCATCGGAAGCAGTATCCTTTTAGCTTGTCGCTCTGGAGAGCTGCAAAAGTCACTTTTTGTATATCGTCACTGCATTTACTGTTCAGTTGGAAGTGTCTTAAGACTAGTCTGCACGTTTCTTGACCGCGTGTTCCCACAGAAACTCAGATTCCCACGCAGCGCTATGGCAGACGGCCCTATGGAGTGGGGCTGCTGATCGCAGGATATGATGTGAGTACAGAGATCGACGTGCTTGTGTGAGCCAGACATGCTCAGTCATGAATTCTTGCTGTTTTTGTGAATTTCAGGACATGGGGCCGCACATCTTCCAGACGTGCCCCTCAGCCAACTACTTTGACTGTAAAGCCATGTCGATCGGCGCTCGCTCGCAGTCGGCCCGCACATACCTGGAGAGACACATGGAGGCCTTCTTGGACTGTAGGTTATTAAGATTAAATGCTTTACATCATATAAACCAGTAGATAGCACGTTAAACTGCATCTAAAACTATTCTAAACAGTGTTTTTCTCATTTTTAGTAGTATCATGCTGGCAGTTTTTAGGACAATGCTAATTTTGCTAATGCATATTTGTACTTTTAAAAATACATTTGTCACACTGCAGGGCCGTTTGTATCCTTGAGAAAAATTAGACTCTAGTATACTTTCAAAAAGAGTACTGATTAATATACTGTATACTAAATATGTATTAATATACTATATTTATAAAATGTGTGTGAACAGAATGTAATGTTTTCAGACACTTAATGCATGTTAACTACGAATAAATGAGAATATACTGTAGTTTACATTTGAATTAAATGCAGTTAGCTGAAGTTCGACCCGCTGAATTAGGACTTGCGTACACCTTCACTTTCTTTTAAATCTGTTTATACGTTTGCTAAATAAGTATTTATAGTAAACTAAAATATACTTTGTCTTTTTTACAGAAACATTTAAATATTCGTAATTACACATTTGTAATGATAGTTGTAATTTAGTACATTTAAAATATATTAACTTTAAATAAAGTAGCAAAGTTCTATACATGAGCTTTAGTATGTTAACACATAAAAATAAGCACAGCAAAAGATGATTAAAACATAATTATTTAAAATGTACTTTAAAGTAAAACTTTTAAAGTTATTATGAAGTGTACTTAAAGTGTACTTCAGTGTGTTAAGAGAAACAGTCATGACTTGCTCTATATTAAGCGTCATCAACTACTCTACTGATATTTAAATTAATCACTGATACAGTGCAGTTATTGTGTAGATGTTTACATTCTACTTATAGAAATCCCTGCTTGTAATTCCAGCTGTAATTAATTTCTAGAGTTACATCTATAATTACACTAATATAAAGTGGGGCCTGAAAGTGTCTCTCTTTAAGTACACTTAAGTGGCCTTTTATTTCATTAATATTTTATGGTTACACTTTATTTTAAGGTGTCCTTGTTACAGTGTAATTATGCATTTAAGTACTGAGTAATATTCATTAACTACATGTACTTACTATATGGTTAGGATTTGGGTTTGGCTTAGGGTTACTTGCATGTAATTATGCATAATTAATTGTTATTATAATAGTAAGTACATGTACCGTGTAACAAGGACACCTTAAAATAAAGTGTTACCTACTATATTATTTGCAGTTCAAAAAAATTTAAAATATATACTTAAGATTTGAAGTACACAAGTCAGTACAATTTCTGTTCAGTACAAGTTCAAAACAATTAAGCATACTTTTACACAGAGAAGCTTGTATAATCTCATCCGTAAAGACGCTCTCCGTGAGTTCAGATGACGATGGTGCTCTTGTGTTCAGGTAATCTGAATGAGCTGGTGCAGCATGGTCTGCGTGCGCTGCGGGAGACTCTTCCTGCTGAACAGGATCTGACCACAAAGGTTTGATATTTCATCCTGTCGCTGTGTTCGTGCTCATTACCACTGCGACCTCTAAATCCTGGTTTCCTCTAGAACGTGTCAATTGGGATTGTGGGAAAGGAAATGGAGTTCACCATCTATGACGACGATGATGTGGCATCGTTCCTGGAGGGTCTGGAGGAGAGACCCCAAAGAAGGGTGAGGAGTATGGCTTTAATTTGCAGATTTCTGCAGGTGTTTGAGGATGTGTGTGATCATGTGTTGACGGTGTTTGTGGACCGCAGGTGGCCCAGCCAGCAGATGAAGCGGCTCCAGCTGTACCTGATGAACCCATGGAGCACTAGCATGTTCTTCTGTAGTTCTGTCTGTGGCACTTCAAGTTGACTGGAGCTTCTCTGGCTCACTGAAATAAAATAAAAAAGTAACATTTAAACTCCTCACACATTATACATTACACAATGAAACCTACATTTTCTATCTGTGAGTTTAAGAGTAATAAAACTGTTTTTGTTTCTTTCTGAGTGTTTTTGTGCTTTCCCTCTGGAGGTTCATTGAGACTGTACAACAGTGAGATTATTTAAGAATGTAATTCAAATTTTGATCATATTTAAATACAAAATTCGAATTTAGTTTTTCAGCCATTTTGACAGCCCTAGTGAGGACTGAAGTACATCCGTCCATTGGATTGTACTGTTGCTTAACAAAGTACTGACAAAAAAGTGTGTCCCTCACAGCCTCGTTTTCATCCGTGTTAAATTCCGATCTGGGATGTTCTTGGAAGTCTCCTGTGCTCTTCCATCAAAGTCTTCTGTCATCAGTATCTCACTGCCTCTCTCTTTCTGAAAAGCAACTTCATGCGGCAGGAGTGTCTGGACTCCAGGTTCGTCTTCGATAGACCTCTTCCTGTGTCTAGACTGGTCTCGCTCATCGGAAGCAGTATCCTTTTAGCTTGTCGCTCTGGAGAGCTGCAAAAGTCACTTTTTGTATATCGTCACTGCATTTACTGTTCAGTTGGAAGTGTCTTAAGACTAGTCTGCACGTTTCTTGACCGCGTGTTCCCACAGAAACTCAGATTCCCACACAGCGCTACGGCAGACGGCCCTATGGAGTGGGGCTGCTGATCGCAGGATATGATGTGAGTACAGAGATCGACGTGCTTGTGTGAGCCAGACATGCTCAGTCATGAATTCTTGCTGTTTTTGTGAATTTCAGGACATGGGGCCGCACATCTTCCAGACGTGCCCCTCAGCCAACTACTTTGACTGTAAAGCCATGTCGATCGGCGCTCGCTCGCAGTCGGCCCGCACATACCTGGAGAGACACATGGAGGCCTTCTTGGACTGTAGGTTATTAAGATTAAATGCTTTACATCATATAAACCAGTAGATAGCACGTTAAACTGCATCTAAAACTATTCTAAACAGTGTTTTTCTCATTTTTAGTAGTATCATGCTGGCAGTTTTTAGGACAATGCTAATTTTGCTAATGCATATTTGTACTTTTAAAAATACATTTGTCACACTGCAGGGCCGTTTGTATCCTTGAGAAAAATTAGACTCTAGTATACTTTCAAAAAGAGTACTGATTAATATACTGTATACTAAATATGTATTAATATACTTTAACATAATATACTATATTTATAAAATGTGTGTGAACAGAATGTAATGTTTTCAGACACTTAATGCATGTTAACTACGAATAAATGAGAATATATTGTAGTTTACATTTGAATTAAATGCAGTTAGCTGAAGTTCGACCCGCTGAATTAGGACTTGCGTACACCTTCACTTTCTTTTAAATCTGTTTATACGTTTGCTAAATAAGTATTTATAGTAAACTAAAATATACTTTGTCTTTTTTACAGAAACGTGTCATTTATTTAAATATTCGTAATTACACATTTGTAATGATAGTTGTAATTTAGTACATTTAAAATATATTAACTTTAAATAAAGTAGCAAAGTTCTATACATGAGCTTTAGTATGTTAACACAAAAATAAGCACAGCAAAAGATGATTAAAACATAATTATTTAAAATGTACTTTAAAGTAAAACTTTTAAAGTTATTATGAAGTGCACTTAAAGTGTACTTCAGTGTGTTAAGAGAAACAGTCATGAGTTGCTCTATATTAAGCGTCATCAACTACTCTACTGATATTTAAATTAATCACTGATACAGTGCAGTTATTGTGTAGATGTTTACATTCTACTTATAGAAATCCCTGCTTGTAATTCCAGCTGTAATTCATTTCTAGAGTTACATCTATAATTACACTAATATAAAGTGGGGCCTGAAAGTGTCTCTCTTTAAGTACACTTAAGTGGCCTTTTATTTCATTAATATTTTATGGTTACACTTTATTTTAAGGTGTCCTTGTTACAGTGTAATTATGCATTTAAGTACTGAGTAATATTCATTAACTACATGTACTTACTATATGGTTAGGATTTGGGTTTGGCTTAGGGTTACTTGCATGTAATTATGCATAATTAATTGTTATTATAATAGTAAGTACATGTACCGTGTAACAAGGACACCTTAAAATAAAGTGTTACCTACTATATTATTTGCAGTTCAAAAAAATTTAAAATATATACTTAAGATTTGAAGTACACAAGTCAGTACAATTTCTGTTCAGTACAAGTTCAAAACAATTAAGCATACTTTTACACAGAGAAGCTTGTATAATCTCATCCGTAAAGACGCTCTCCGTGAGTTCAGATGACGATGGTGCTCTTGTGTTCAGGTAATCTGAATGAGCTGGTGCAGCATGGTCTGCGTGCGCTGCGGGAGACTCTTCCTGCTGAACAGGATCTGACCACAAAGGTTTGATATTTCATCCTGTCGCTGTGCTCGTGCTCATTACCACTGCGACCTCTAAATCCTGGTTTCCTCTAGAACGTGTCCATTGGGATTGTGGGAAAGGAAATGGAGTTCACCATCTATGACGACGATGATGTGGCATCGTTCCTGGAGGGTCTGGAGGAGAGACCCCAAAGAAGGGTGAGGAGTATGGCTTTAGTTTGCAGATTTCTGCAGGTGTTTGAGGATGTGTGTGATCATGTGTTGACGGTGTTTGTGGACCGCAGGTGGCCCAGCCAGCAGATGAAGCGGCTCCAGCTGTACCTGATGAACCCATGGAGCACTAGCATGTTCTTCTGTAGTTCTGTCTGTGGCACTTCAAGTTGACTGGAGCTTCTCTGGCTCACTGAAATAAAATAAAAAAGTAACATTTAAACTCCTCACACATTATACATTACACAATGAAACCTACATTTTCTATCTGTGAGTTTAAGAGTAATAAAACTGTTTTTGTTTCTTTCTGAGTGTTTTTGTGCTTTCCCTCTGGAGGTTCATTGAGACTGTACAACAGTGAGATTATTTAGTAATTACACTCTAAAAATCAGACTGGCATTACCATTGTCTATTTGAAGATAAAGTCCGTTCTCTGTTCCTTTGCCAGAAAACGCTTCATTCAGCATGTTTCACGTTCGTCACGTAAGCCCTTCTTTGCCCATAGTGCAAATTAGAAAGAAATGACTAAATAAGAAATTAGCCTAATTTGATCTTTTAATAGCATTTAATATCTTAATACATTAAGCCATATTAACTGTTTATTGTTTTCTACGGCAGGCTTAACGAGAGACTGCGCATCGCGTTCATATTCTGTTCTGTGGTCACAAATTAGGCTTGTTTGAGATGAGCAAAATCTGCGCAGAGCCGACCGATCACCGCGAGATGCATGCCGGTTAGAGAAGTGTCCGATTTACGTCCGACTTGCTCTGATGTCACGCTGACGTGTGCAAAAAAGCTCTGGCGCCCGCGAGGCGGCTATATCGGATTGAGCAGTCGAGCACAGTTGCTCTCCACAGTCTACGCTGACCAAAGGCATGATGGGAAACGACTGACTGACGTCACATCTTAGTGCTCATAGGTTCAGACAACTGATGCTGCGTTCTCCTCTAAAACGTTTTAATTTTTTATCTGGTTCCATGCGATTATGTATTTAAATTATGCATGAATGTTCCCAAACCCTATGACAGTGCGATCTCTGTGTGAGATAATGTGGTTGTTGTAATATTTCTATAAAAATCTAAAATACATGTTTGTTTTAAAGGGGTCATATGATGCTGCTAAAAAGAACATTATTTTGGGTATTTGGTGTAATGAAATGTGTTTATGAGGTTTAAGGTTCAAAAAACACATTATTTTCCACATACTGTACATTATTGTTTCTCCTCTATGCCCCACCTTTCTGAAACGCGTC